AGAGCTGAGGAAATATAGTTGTTTTGCGGAACTCTACAAAGTTGTTTGTTTGAGCGAAAAAAAAAGGAGCTATGCAGCAGTAGACGACGCTTCACGAAGGGCCTATAGAACGCCGAAACGAATCTATCGATTCGAGACTCAAAAAAGTGTCGTCCTGTAAAAGAAACATAATTCGGATATGAGATATTCGATCAGGCACGTCACGTTGCCGTCTGCGTCATGACAACAGCTGTCACTGCTGTCTTTTGCGGTTGACAGGCAGCATTTGCAATGGCACAACTCCCTGTACGCTCGTACATATGTGTTACCCCATTGTAAATATTTTGCTTGCGTGCATTGGCAGAATTGCCGCTTGCTTGGGTCGACCGGCCGGGCAGTGAACTTACGGATGTATCCCACCATTTGCATCACTCACACATCGTAATGCAACGCGCATATTTACGTGTCTTAGGTCGACAACGCAATTGCGGCTTACAACAATGTGTTTACATATGTGTATGTTCAAGCGTATGTGTGAGTACATAAGCGCACTCATGGGACTATTTCTGTATTGGAACTGGTGTAGTCTATGAAGTTGATATAAAGTCGTCTTGCGCGAGCCAAACATATCGCTTTTATCCCAATGCGCTTCATGTTTATGGGGTTTTATTATCGGAATCACTGGAGCAGAGTAGCTGAAATTATAATTCCCTTATATATTCACACGGTTGTTGATTATATGCGGAAACGTTTACGTTATTTCCCAACAAAAACCTGTGCACTTTCACAGTAATGATGTAGCGATGACACGTTTACCTATTAAACCAAGGGGCAACCAAAAATGATGTAGGTCGAATGCGGCCGCGTATGCACTTGCTATCGTGATGGTCAGAGCCAGCCGTCTGAAGCGGTGGTCTACTAAGGCAGTACGCCCTACGTAAGACTTGAACCATTCACATAATTTCTCTAATAACTTCAGCCATGAAATACTTATGCTCTTCGTTTTTACGTTTCTTCTGTCCCATACACACATCCATTTGTACTGAGAGTGAAGCATCCGTCGGTATGTTTCCATTACGCGATGCTCAAGGACGAGAACTGATCATAGCTTTGTTTCCTTTTGCTTGCTGGTATCATCCGATGGGAGTCAATGGTGCAAACATCGTCCGAATTTCTTCATTCTGCAATCTGACCACAATTTCTAACACATTCGTATTTCTCTACCCATGTCAGCAAAGCTCGACCGCTCAAGATCACTGATCTTATGTGCGCGTTGCCAGTTGTGGGCATCACAGTTTCGTTAAGATCTCCTTTTCTGGGTGGACTCGAAAAGCTAAGAGAAATCCGGCTCCTCCCTTCACTGTTGATGTATTTATTAGAGACGGTGCAAGGAAAAGGCTTATCTTTCTGCTGCAAGCTTTCGGCTCGAGTCTTCCTTCTAGGGCATCGTCCATTGCGCCGTTCTCGTTGCTTCCGCCACTGGCTGCCGCCCCTGTCAAAGGAAATTCATGCAGAATTGTGAACTCTCTCCGCAGAGCGGCCTCGGTATTACGGTTGCACTGTAGTGGTTCGCTTTATGTAGTTGATTTAGGCCGCAGCTTAACTGAGCTATATAATGGCTTCGTCCAGCGCCAGCATCAATGGATTGCTGAAAAATAAAGTGAAACAGGTAAAGCGTACGCTGTAGGTAAACGATGATTGTGGTGGTCTGCTTAGAGATAAAAAGAAAAACATGTTAGAAGCCTAAAATAAGGGCATAGGCCGTAGGCTTGCAAGGGAATCAAAGCACGGCCCGCTGCTGCTGCTGCTTATTACGATCCGAGCCGTAGAGTCTGATCCTGAGAAACTGAGCAAAAGCTAAAACGTAAACCATATATATATATATATATAAAATCTGAATGTCTTGAGATGAAAGTTAAATGATGACATCCTTTCCACTGATATAAGGTCGAAATGAGCTTGATCCAACCAGTAAAATATCATATCACTTATGACCTCAAGTTTTTCAATTTTCTTGGAGAACATCTTTCTATTGTACATTAAAATATAGTATAATGCAATGCGAATTATTATAACATGTTAGAGATATAATCATAAATGGCTAGGCCTTTCAGGACATTAAATTTTGTCGAGGGTGCATCCTATGCAGGGGTGATGGTCATCCTGATATCAAAGGGACATGATCTTAGATTAATACTGGGAGTTGGCCTAGCATCATACGTGGAGTTATAGTATTTGCAGCAAAGGTCTAGAGTTTATTCATACCTGAGCTGAGATGAGATTAGTACAACTGTATTATATACTAGTACGACAATAAAAGTAAAGTTAAAGTTATAGAGGTACATGCTAACAATGCAATATCTACTATTGGAGTTACCAAAGAAGAACACCAAGGAACACCGATATCTGCGTGATGTTGATCCACAATAGGAAGGCTCATGAGAAAGAAGTTACCATACAATTCACTAAAACATAAGTCTACAGTTCGGGAAGATCGGTTCACAGATTAGACAAGGCCGATTTGCGTTTCAAATAACGTCTGTTCCAGCTTTTTAATTGAGGGCCTGTGTTTTGCCACCCAACCATAACCTTACTTTTGCGTTTTCTGTCCGCTGTGTTTGAGGCCTCGTTATTTCGTCCACACGTTGCCACACGTAGGAAGTATAAACTGATGATGGATTACTTTTTGCTGTAAATTCTAGCTGATTTATATATTTTTTTATATTAAATGCATATATACACCCAAGATGTTTTCATTTCGTTCTCATCGAATGATCCACATATTATGCACTAGGATACTATATTTTTTTTTTTCGAAAATACGTATATCTCTATAATTAATATCATGACATTATGACAATGGCGAGCCTTCTGCTAGATAACATACCTAAGCCATAATTTCATAAATGTGGGGATTTATGTGATCGCTCAATGACAACCAAGGGGACAACATGTTAATATCGTAGCATGTCCTCTTGGTTGTCATTGAGCGATCACATAAATCGTATTTCGATTTTTCCGTCAAAATAACTATTTCAAATTTAGACAAAAGGGATTATAATTTTCAACCCCTTAATCGCGACCGGCTTGCCTCACTCGTTTTAGTTTTGCTAGTCACTAGTCTTAGTTTTATTGCATTGATTCTAAGATGAAGCCTTCCATCCGTTCTCTCCCTCTCTTTCTTATTCTGCCCTCACCAAAGCCTTGTCCTTCAAACCCTCCCATCGAGGTGCGTTTCGACTACTAACGCGAATTCGTACCTAACCAGTCAGCCCCCTTAGTCTCCAACCCCCGCCTCCGCACGGTTCAATCCACGCCTTCTGTCATACCTGTGTGTACCTCTTGCATTTTTACCGTCAGATAGTCTACTGCCGAGTAAATCAACAGAAGCTCCATGATGGGCGACTCTCGGACAGCCCCCCAACCTGATCTCGTCGTTCCGTTTTTCGTACGCATGCGCCCTCAGCTGAAGCCGTTTCGCGCGGTGAAGACTACTCCGGCAGTGACTCAGGAGCGGAGGAGGGAACAATTTTTGCTAGTGGTTGGGAAGCTGTTCCTTTCCTCTGTCGCTCCAGACCACTGTCGCACCGGCGGCAATGCTATGTTCTTCAACGTCGCCTTATTTAGACGGCGAGTCGGCGGTAGCAACAATTTCGACCGGACGGGTGGACGATGCGCGTTTCAAACAATGTTGGACAATTTTCGATAAATGCACAGGGAATGTTGGTTTTCCTAATATCTCACAAGTGATGAAAAACCTCCATCATGTGTATCAGGGACAACGTTTGGTCTCGAACTACTTCTAGCGCAATTGAGGGGTAGACAAATCCCGTTAAAACAATGAAAAATATGCAAAATTACAGCAGATCTTACGATAAGAATATGGTTGCTATCAGCAGGCTCAATAGAAAAAATCTCTGAGTCAAAATCTCGGAGCATCGACGAGATCATTACAAGACGTAGAGTGATACGAGTACTCTACAGCAACTGAAATAAGAGCGCACGTCTTATTCACGTATTTATTCCATTTATAACGAGACTTACGTGACATCTCAGTCGTCACACGAACAAAGGTAATCGCGTTGCGAAATGATCATTTTTTTATACGTCAGTATATCCCCTACGAACATTCATCTAACTGATCGGTCAAACAAAAACCACTTGAGAAACTGTGCCATTTGTACCGGTATCAGAACTGGTTCCCCGTAAGACAAAACTAATGAAAATAAATGATATAAAGACTGTCGTATCCGACAATAGAAGTAAATGATCCGACCGCCTTGGACGATCGATCACACCGATGTTCTGAACGACGGAACAATGGAACGAACAACTTTTCGTTCGTCTTTCCGTTCGGCCGTTACGACCGGCAATAGCAGAATACATTTCACCTAAAAAAGGCAAATTCACCCCCAACACCAGCAGCACTCCACGGTCCTCGAAACCATTTTCGCCATTTCATTTCGTGCCCGAACCTGCCATGTCAGATGCTCGACGAACGCAATGCGTCTGCGCTACCACTAACAACAATAACACAACCTGACGACGCTGAGCACCCACTACCCCCTTCGCGAATCTCGCAGCAGCCGGCTGTCGTCTGTCGCACGCCGAACTCCGAGGGTCCACCAATCACCCTGTGCTTTGTTCTGAGCAGCAATACTCCACCGCTCTCTTTCTCTCTCTGGAAAATAACATTGGCGCTCCGATTGCTCCTGTTGTTTGTTTATCGGTCTGTCTGCCCATCGACTACTGGCTTGCGCTGGCTGTGGCCCAGGTATGCCCCATCGTGTCCTGACCAACACACTGTTTGTGGCTGGCAACGCTGAAGGCTCCCGTTTGCTCACACAGAAACGACGAGCCCACCCGGAGCAACGGCGAAAACCGGACGATTGTAATGGTGGTGCCAGTAGCCGTTACGGCGGTGGCGGTGGCGGTGTCGGCGAATTGGGCGAGGGACTCTGGGTACCGCCGCTGTCTTCGCCTTCCGCCGACCACTGCTGGGCCGACACGCGCGCACAGCACAGAACGATGGCTGAACTACTTGTTTTGCCGCAGCTGCTGCTGCCACTGACACCCGTATCAGCTATACGACCGCCGCAGCGACGGTGAGGAAGAGGCTGAGGGTTCGTTTCCGAGGTGGTAAGGGTAGGTCCATCGGTTGCGTTCGGGAGTGAGCTCAGTTGCTTGTGGGACCAGGTGCCAAGACTCGACGGGCGGCAGCAGCAGCAGCAGCAGCAGCAGTTGGTGCCATCGGCCGCTGCTACTACTACTACTAATGTGGAATGACTGAGCGCGGTGCAGTTCGGTGGCAAAGGAATTCTGCGCTCGGAGCAACGACGGCGGCACAACAGTTCAACTGGAGCAGCAGTTCACTGGCACAGCGGAAACACGGGCCGGCGCGGTCGTGACCACAACGAATTGCCAAGAAACCACCGGTGGCAGCGAGGCCAGGGACACCCAGTAAACGTTTAACCCAATACACGACATGGAGATCATTGCGCTAGCTAGAAGCCAGTGGTAGAAGCAGCGGCTGTGGGCAGTTAGCTGGTCCGGGTTTAAACTGGCGTGGTTCGACACCGACGACGGCTCGTCTCTATTACTGTTTAGGCAATGAATCAGCAAGGAAGTCAGTCAGTCAGTCAGTCAGTCAGTGAAACCAAAATACAGGGGTACAAATCAGTTGGTAGTGGCAGTCGTAGTTGTAGCAGAAAATCGAGCAGTATCAGTTTCCGAAAACAGCACGAAAACACTTTGTCGCCGTAGTTAGTTAGTTAGTAACTGATAGTCAATCGCAGAGTTCAAAGACAAGCAGAGTGACTTTGAGAAAGAACTCTGAACCTAATTGTCCGATGTTCTTCGTGAGTGGGCCATTCACCCAAAGTGCTTGTTTGTGCCTAGGCGGATATCGTGAATACCTTGACTGTGTACGCGCTCGTTGCCCTAGTCGATAGAAAAAGCATATTCTATCTGTAAGGAACGATAAAGTCTGGGGGAGTCTTCGGCCGTCCACAGTTCGCCCTCAGATCGGTCGGATGCAGAGTAGAATCTGGTCTCCCACCGTAGCTTTGTGCTTCGTTAAGCGTAGATGAAGGGGCAGCTATATAAGGCGAGCTAGGCTCTTTTTAATGATAATTTGTGACACGTGCAAAACAACGAGAATATCCACCTCGTTCGACTCGACTCTCGGATCTATCTAAGTTTATCGAAAGCTCAGGTTGAAACTCAATGAATCCTCCGCATGCAGAAGTAAAAGTAAACACGCGTCAAGGGTAACCTTGTTGGTTGGATCGCACGTTCGACACGGTAACATCATCGGGCCACCTATCAGGTAGAAATCGTATAGCACTGGACATGGAGTGTTTTTGTGTGCCGCGAAATCGATGTAGTGAACATCAGCAATTGTGACGACAGTAACCAAGGCACGAGTGGAACAACTCCGTTTCCTCAATCTGGAAAGACTAGTCAGCTGATTGCCCTCTCCTCTTGGTAGACCCTGTCGGATCATCTAAAACGACAACAGCCAAAGGTGAAGGAGCGCCAGAAACGATCTCAAAACAACGGAGTATTGAAGATCCACCAAAAGAAATTTGCTTTTAAATCCGTCTTCGCTGTGCTAAACACTACACCCTATTTTTACTACTTATTTCTATACCTTACTTATTTTCGAACGAAGCAGCTGTATACTCGCGAACTGTTTCCTCTGCTGGCAAATAGATCTTTAGGCCATAATACAAAGGCCCGAGTAGAGTGCCAATCCTGATCCAGGAAGTCAACCAGTTGGGTTTCCACTCGCGATTAGCAAACTTGCCGGGATCATGAAAAGCACGTAAGACCTGCGGTCGGTGTCAATGGGAGTGCGTACCTTATTGAAAATATCTGCAGCTCCTCGGGAATTCGCTCACTTAGTCCATTAATTAGCTGATTTAAGAATCTGATGTTTGTTTGGATAGAATATATATGGACAGAAATACCGGTAACCTGGACAAAGATGCTCGGATCCATACCGACTATCTGAGAGCCATCGTCTTGGTGGACGCCTGACATGTGCTCTGCGCGTTTCATTGCTGCTAATGCAGCCGTCCAATCCAAGAATAAACTAATAGCGAGACGACTTCGTTGTAAGCAGTTGCTCCATAGCAAATAGGTTGTTTTGAGTCATCTGAGGTTTTTGATTTGTACGTTCGGATCGCTTCTAACGTCGGTGACGGTTTCATCGGCGCTATGTTCTCCATCATCGGTAGCATTTTTATTGCTGTTGGTGCACCTTTCTAATATTAGCAGTTGATCCTAGTCGCTGCTGCAAATAATAATAGTCGTCTATAATACTGACTGCCAAATACATAAGACTCAACCTTTAGTTGTACCAATTCAACTGATGCATAGGATCGACTGACTAAAAAATCTCTTCCGAGTGTTGCCTGTTAAGGAACGGGAGGATACCTAGTTACTGTAGTCATCGTGTAGACGGATCGTGTGAACGTCTAGAGGCTATCTGGCAAGTCAGAGGGCTTGTTCAGTAGTGAATGTAAACCAGCCGGATATTGCACCGGGCCCGCGACGGTGCCTCTAATCCGATTAGGTCTAAATGAATTTGAACAATAATCAAAAGCCATAGCAGGAGGGCCTAGTGGTGATCGTCAGGTTGCTTGAAGGCTCTGGGATATTTTGTTGTGTCGAGAGGGGATAAAAAAGAGGCAGAGGACGACAAGAAGAACGTCGGAAGTGCCGCGAAAAAACAAAAAAAAAAAACTGGTACATATTACAATTGCGCGATAGCAATAGCGATAGCAACGTCGTAGATATCAACGACAGCGAAGGCAGCAGCTGTACGAAAAACAAGCAATAAGTTTGACGTCTCAGCTGACGAACTTCACGAAGATACAACGACAAACTCTCCATAGTAACGACGGAAACAATCACAGATATCGAACGCCGCACGAATCGCACAAACGCTTTGCTCGTTGCTACGAAAAACCGATTGCAATTACGAAAAAACGTATTAGTGCTACGGAAAAACGGGAACAGTTGTTGAGAGTAGAGTGAAGTCAATGGCAAAATCTAACGATCCTGCTTTGATATTCTAGAAAAGAAAAATAGGAAACTAGCTAGACCTAAGTGACAGTGGTGACACAGAAAACGAACAGAGAGATAACCATTCTTCCACAAACAATTCAAGAATACCTCGGTTTTGCTCTAGACAAGAATAGTTGTCAAGTTTTACTTACGCCTTCCAGGTAGGCGGCCTACTGAGGACCCCAATATTAACGGTGGTTTATATTGTTGGATTGTAGAGTTGGAATTACGGGCCAACAAACAGGGAACGCTTAACGCAGCGTGTCCTAACCAGGTCGCGCAAAGGACCTGGGACCTCAAAAGCCTTTGCCACTAAGAGTGGTAAAGACAATTACACGTCGTACACTGAACGTGGCGCTTCACGATAGTATGACCGATTCGAGCAGTACGAACTACTAGGAACTGCCAGCGCGTAAGTAGCGACCGATGAAGCAACGGTTTGTATGCATATGCATATTTAATTTTCGAGATCAGAGAAGCTGGGTGCCTCATTGTCACCGTCAACAGTACTATCGCTTATTATTGATCGGAGGCGCACATCATACTCAGTTTTTGTTTGCTCAAGCCCACAGCGTACGGGCGACCGCGCAAGCAAGTTAGCACGTCGCCGACTCCCAGCAGCAACAGTGACCGCAAAGCTGAAAATCGAAGAAAAGAAAAAGAGCAACCATTGTCGTGACATCGATAGAGTGACTGCGTACATGGCAGAAAGGCTAGGACGACCTGTGTTAGAAGGAGACTTCGAGGCCCATTATCTTGTGCCGCACGGTGACAGCAACGGAACGGTATAGGACGTTTACGTTTTAGGCCATTTCTTCTCTTAGTTCTGCTGTAGATCTGCGCTTATTCGATTGTTCTGGCCATCGTTGGTTTTCACTTTTACCATGTAACAACGTATATTCTTCTTCGTATTGACAATAGTTCCATCAACAACGACGATTTTGCTTGAGCCAGTATAATTACTAGTACTTTTATACACGATTCGTGCTATAATTGTTACTCTTTACGAGTCAATCTGTGCGTTTGATTGGAGTTGAAGCAGGAGGCGACAACGAGCCCGCGACGAGTTAATCGTTCTCGCACTGAATTATTAACGGGCGCCGGTGACCGACAAATGTCGAGTTTACTTCTTTCTGTTTGGCTATCTATCTCAGCCCACGCCGTTTTACGCGTTTTTCATTGGTACTGCTTCGATGTTGTATACACGTTTTATGCGTCTCTCTATATTGTTCTGTGTTGGCAAGCCAGTATCCCTTAGACCAGAAGCTCATTAAGATCATTAGCATCGACATATGGAAGGACGAAACTACCGCTGGTCACGACCCAGTTCCACTACAACTGATATTATTACAAACTTTACGGCCGCTGACGCCACAATATCAACAACAAATGTAACCTACTATTCACAAGAAGAATTTAAGTAAATTACACTACTTCTAGCCTGTAATTTGTCTTCATAGCATTGAACGAGTCGTTGCCTTACGCCAGGCATCGTTTTAAAACAGGGCTTTTGCGTGTGGCTCAAGGAGGTTCGGTCGGATTAGGCAGCCATTGCTTGTACATTACGAATAATATTTTCGGTTGTACCCTTAACATTTGTCTGAGGAACTCGTCAAACAAATATATATGTGTAACATCTTTTCGGATTTCGAGTTCTCTATTCAGAGGAGTAAGCATTTTCGTCTGCTGAGCAGCGCGCAAACCAACAACACCCATTAAATCAAAATCGACCTCGGAGCACCAGTTATTTTTTCACAACAGATTTAAGCCCGCATGGCCGGAACAACAAGACACCAGAAGCAAAGTCTCAATACCACAACCAATAATAGTGACAAGAATATTGTTGAAGTCCTCTAAACTTTAGCCATTCTAGTGTGTTTCACCTCTCCAGCTACATTTTCTCGTTGCTCAAACCTGGCCGTTCTTTTATCTGAGCCTATTTGAAGGAAATACAGCTATCTCAAAAACTGATCCATTCTTCTCGAGTCTACTGAGATCCACTACTGCTGGCCAAATAATCTTCATTAATCTATTTTCCGTATGACTACCGAAGCGTGTACCACGGTGATGCTTTGTTAAGGTTCGCTAATCGCTCGATCGACTGACCTACGGACGGAAGAATCTGCCACACCCAGCTTTGTCGCTTCCCTTCCTGAAGTAGAACTTGCATTACAAGCACACGTTCTTCCCCCCCATTGCCGCCCAACAGTAAGTGCAGAAGCGCTACGACTAAAGCAAACGATAAGCAGCCCACTTTTCCCGAATTTCTGGAAATCACAAGTCAAACAAACAGATGGGCCTGTACGATACATGTAGTAGCAGCAGCAGCAAGCCACAACCGAAATAACAGCTCGGCGGGAGGGGTAAAGCCGAAAATTTACGACCGATTTTAGGGACCAAGGCCGAACACCTAAGGTCTCCCGGTTCTCTAAAACGAATCCTGTTTCCTTAATAGCCGCATGGTAAGTGATTGAATAGAAACTAGACGTGATTAAGACGCAGCGCTACCAAGCGGCAGGTATCAACTACTGCCAGTATCCGACAGTATCGATTTCAAAGTAACCGCTTAAGACGAACGGCAAATCTTCAGCGTACGCGTAAGCTTGTCGCCGCCTAGTCATCCGCAATAACTGACACATCAGCAGGAACCATATGAATGATCATCCATTGCGGTCCGAGCTATCCTCCATTTTTGATTGGCGTTTACTGTTGATTGTTATCTATCGGCTAGAAGTAACAGTAGCACTATTACGTCGTTATTAATTTGCCAGTCAGCCTGCAACAGGTCGCCGCTACTATCGAACATCAATACGTCTCTAATTGAATGACTAGCTTGGTAATCTTCAGTGAGTCAATGGCAAACTACGATTGTGGTCTTTGAGTGGACGAACGGTAACTGTGTCAACGACGAGCCTACGACATCATCACGACCGGATGTATTCCTTCAAAACAAACAAAAAATCCACCGAATAGAGAAGCGCAAATTGTTTTTCTACGACAATTACTAGTTCTTGTATTCCCGCAAAAGAATCCGTCAGAGCGAAACGGACCAAAGCTCAGAGAGAGTACCGCAGGCAACCGGGTCAACAATTAGCAAAACTTGGTAGTGCACTTTTCGGCTCAAATTGAAGGATCGCAGTAGCGTACCGCTGTCAGCCTTTTCAGCAAGCGGCTTGCTCGCGTACGGCCACAGGTAAGTAGTAACAGAGCGATGACTAGTTCGATAGGGAAACGACTAGCTGAGCGATTCCTCTTTCTAGCTGTTAGCAGTTCGAGAAGGCGTCTGAACAGGGCATTAAGACAGAGCTGGACTAGACCTCTTATCGGGCCATTGGAAGCGAATCTAGACACATTTGGGTTAACAACTCCATGCGATAAAATACGTTGACCTCATTGTCGCGTTTAAGCTGAAAACCTAAGGCTAATCTATTTCTCCTAGCCATCTCTCAATACTGCCTCTTAAGACGATTCAGTTGTAGGCTGAAAAGTTAATACCGTTATACTACTGACTTTCGAAAGGCTACGACGGCCTAACAATGTGTCACATATTGTCATTGTCCGAAAAAAACCGGTTGAGAGACGCTACCGGCCTAATCGGTAGCCTAAATCGAGAGGTTCAACCGAGATGTCTGTCTGTCTGTCAACTTGGTCATAGATGAACTGACAATAGTATTTGTCTCACGTACCGTTACCGTTGCTTATGAATGATATATACCTATTACTGTCATTAGACGTGTCTTCATTCAGTAATTTCTCCGGGTCGGTCCTTGGCGTCCTCAAAACCAACTGCCGCTAGTTGCCACGCGCAACTACTTCATAGCAAACGCTAGCAATGGTATTGACAATGCTTCGCAATCATTGTTTCGTTTTCGCTGTCGCACAATGGTGGAGTGGCGTACACACCGCTCGCTTGCTCCTGGTGGACGTTGCCTATACGTTCACGATAATAAGGAGTAAATGATACATAAAGCATTGAACATCGACAGCGTCACATATGGGCGTGCATCATGCCCCACAGCAATAAAAGCTGCGCCAATAGCGACCGCTCTCGAGTTAAACAGGGAAATATATGAACACCAATAGCAATCCGCGCTGTCGTTGTCGAGGTTGCGGAGTGACCGGCGGAGCCGCAGCTCTTTCAAGACACTACTTGGCTGGCGCGTAGAGCGGATAGCGTGTAGTTTCTCTGAAACTGCACAGCTACCGCCGTGGACGATCTTTTTAAGGTAGTCGTAGCGGACGTTGCTGCGCATTCGTACCAGAACCCGGTGATAGCGCTGGTGGGGTCAGTGCGAGCGGTTAAACCGCCGGGGCACTGAGCCGCGCGCTATTTACCCCGCCAGACTAAGCACGTGACGCTATTGTATTATTATTTACTGACTATCTACCGTACGCAGTTCTGCGGTAGTCGCTAATGCCAGAGCAGAGGACAGGCATGCTATCAGAACGCAGTGCTGAAATCGAACCTACTTGGCTGGAAAGCAGAATCGGAACTGTGATTTAGTCGACTCAGGCGGGTTTCAACAGCGAGATCAAAGTTGTACTTTACGTCTCTTTGCGAAATTACTATTCTCAGGTAGAGCTATTCGAGTTTTTGGCCTTGCGAATCGTTTTCTAGGTAACTTAGAAGGACAAACGTGAATTAGCGTCTAGAAACCGTTGGGTGATTTGCTGAAAATTCGATTGACTCGAATAATTGTTTTTTTGCAGCGAAAACATTTGGCCTTGCAGGTAATACACGGAACGGGGGAGAAATACAGGACAAATGACATTACTGAGAAAACAAGTCCACTTGACATCAGCAGCCTTTGATTTCAAGTACAAGTTAGCATAGCGGGCTTTTAATAGAAAAGCCATTTTTATCGTGTGATGCCTACACATCTAAACACAGGCAGCCAGCTGGAGGCGTAGTAGAAAAAAAACTTTTGATAAGGAAATGCTAAAGATCAAACACTATCCACTACTGAACCTAATGGTTGCCTACGTGTTGAGTTCGCCTTAAAGCCTGTCCTATATCCATCAAGTATACGTAAATATGGAGTGAAGGACACTCGAATTGTTACGGTCCAATCGAAGCCGCTGATAATCATGAGCTCGCTTTGTTGTTACGGTTCACGGTAGGACATCAGACCGATGGCCGGACATCTTACTTGCACGTAAGAGGCAGGTAACTATGTGTAAGCACAGATAAAGGACTAACCTAGAAGAGAATACATCTGCACACACACTCATCACTAACGTCTAAAGCCTTCACCAAGCATCGATGTTCCCAAATCTTCCCTCTAAACAAAGCTGAGAAAGATGCTAGTAAGACACCTAAAATACAGCACAAAGTAATGAAAAGGAGCGTATGCATTCGGCTTACGCATATGGAAACAGGAAAAACAAAACGTCGACGAGAGATTAATGTAGGGCATCATGTCCGCGAAGCAATGTACGCGTTTACAGCGTGAAGACGTTCTGGCGATTACCTACGGCCTGCGAAAAGTGGCTGCTTTGCCACTATACCGAAGGATGGCTATGAGGCGCATCGGAAGGTTAGCACATGTCAGAACGAAGTGACTGACCACCGAGTACCTAAGCTCCGCGACAACGCCCGACCCCGATATCCCTTTAAGTGCTACTGTAACGAAGGCAGCAGCAAAATGCGTGCTTTCGGCCTCGTATCCACGGCACCTCCACGCGAGCATTAACATTAAGTATTTATCAATGGGTTCCGTATCAACTTGCCTGTAGGCTACAGCGGCGCAGATAACAGTGGGAAGATGCAGATAGGTGCGACCTTTCCCGCAAGCTTCTAGAGTAGTGATAATGAAGCCAGCCTAGCGGGTGGCACCTATTCCAGTTTTATCTGCGTCGAAATGATATCATCATAACAATACAAAATTAATTACTATGAGATATGAGGGCCCTCTGTATAAGGGTTATTGAGAGAGGCATAAGATGACAGACAAGAGTAGGGAAGATATTCAGAAATGGCGAGCGACTCAGCGGTACGTACAATTAAGAGTGTCAGTCTGCGTCTATTTGCATGTCTGAGGAGGTGAAGTCGCAAGCATCAAACTGCCTTGCAGATGCCCCATATTTAAACAGCAACGAAGACGGTAGCTGTAGTTGCCTCAACAATAAATGCTACTGTAAGAGGTTGAAGAGATCCTGTTGCCGTCCGTCGTGTTCAGGGGCCGCAGATAAAGAGAGGATCAGGACGTAACCGTTTCATTTCAAATAGAAACAGGAAAACCGATCGTGAAAGGCCTTCTTTCCGGCGTTTGTCTATTAGATAACAAATGTGATTTGCAGAGCTCATTAAAATAGTGAATGACTTTTTTGATGTAAAGAAAAGTGAACATCAAGTGGGTGGGTTAACTTCATAGGCCAATTGGCAACCCAGTTTTCCGAATGCTCCATGTGATAGCCTGGGCATCCGGCCTCCAAGAACGGTGCATTTTTGGTTCTCAGCTAAAACGTAAAAAGTGCTTTTTAAATGATTTCGGTTCGTGGCGCGCGGTTCAGCCTAACGTCAATGCGCAGTGTCTAGTTCTACCTACGTACTCTAATCCTATACATTGTCTGCAGTAGCAGGCGGGCCGTTTGCATCATCATCACAAGTTTATTCTCCAGTTAATTGAAGCTAAGTATTTTGATGGCTCATTGTAGGTTTAGAGAACAGTCCACCCGATAGCTTAGTGAGTAACACATTTGACTGCTGATATTACGAAAAGATACGTTGTGGTGTAGGTACGAACCCGGCCATAGACACCCATCGTTTTGTGTTGGGAGCCAGCCGTCTAATGGAATGGCTAACGGCGGTACCGGATGCAAAAGTTTAACAATAGAGTAAAGGTGTTCATAGGGTGGGTATTTGTTATACACACACTGGACTGGGATGTTCCTTATCGGTGTTTTACGTTCATATACGTAGGTTAATTTCATAGTTCAGAGCATTCGACCATTGTCGTTTTCACTACGACCAGTAGTAACCTGTGAAAGTCTGCCGAATATCGTGCGAGGGGCGGATGTCCACCCGCCATAGAGTACCCTAGTAACGGGAGCAGATAAGTCTGCTTCGATGGCAAAAACAAGGAAGACACACACTCCCAACAGGATGAACGTCGGTTAAGAGTGGCACAAAGGAAGTCCCGCTCTGCTCTCCTGGCGAAGAAGATCATTATTCAGTCCTTATATGCAAATGAAGGATTATATCCATTAACAGATTTGTTACCGAGCCGAAGTTGTTTTCTAGGGCGTGTTCGGCCAGTACACATAAAGATGATATATTATACAAGAAAAGAGGTTGGGTGGGAACGCTGTACATCTTTTGTGACTTCGTTCATAGAATTGAGCTTTGGAAACTTCGGGCTGACTGTACGTCGATAATTGTTGGGTCACTTTATATATACACTTTGATATATAATTTTAGTTTGTAAAAAAAAAAGACTCAAACAAAGTTGCCTTACTATTTACAAAAAATAGCTAAAAAAAGAAACTGTGTTTTTTTTCTATGATTCCAGCATTTCTTTTGCTTTTATTAAACGTTTAATAAAAATAAATAATGTATGAATAAAGCTGTTGACTCGTTCGACTTGAACAACAATACTTCAAATAAACATAGTCCTTACCTAAGCAGTCGACGAGAGATATAAATTTATATGGGCTCGGGGCAGGTATTATTTCAAATGTTTGGATATTGATTGGGTTTCCTAGCGAAATTCTACAGGGGTATCCGAACGCGTCGCTTAGTGCCTCACCTGATACATATGCATCGAGGATAAATTCGGTTCACGAATAAACGACGTACAGGGATGCTTGAGCAGGACGCCACAGCAACGCAACTGACGCAAGCTTTATTTGTTTTATTTGTCAATAGTTAATCTCATTGAAGCTCCTTACCTGAAACCTTATTTGTTCTGATCTGATCTGATCAGTTGTGACAGTACGAACGACGAAATAATTGGGGTCGAATACATTTTTCAAACCTCTAGTACGCGTAAACAGACCCTATTATGGAACCATTGGCTGGGATGTTTTTGTCGTTTACAGGTAAGGCAGCTGACCGTGTTTCAGATGCGATATTTTCAGCACGTCTATTATATATGTGTACATATAAATTGAACGTGGCTAAAAGGGGCTTGCGGTTAACACGTGGAAGCAATTCACTAGGCCAAGAAAGTAACTATCTAAAGTGCTTGGCCT